TAAGGATCCATGATCCAATACCTACAAACACAAAACCCTAATAAGGAAAATCAAACACACGCAAACCAACCTTCAAGGCGAAGAGTGGTAAACAAATTACACACGGACACAAAACACAAACAAAAAGGAAAGATAGAAAATGATAGAGTAACACTAAGCGACCTTTTTAAAATATTGGACCGCGGTTCCCCGGCAACGGCGCCAAAAACTTGACTAGCACGAAACTACACCGCGAATTAATCCCGTCTAGAGCCCAAGTTTTTAAACTCTAGTCGGGTGCAGTATAGGGCAAGTATTTAATTGTCAAACCTGGGCCGGTCCATGTACCCCTACTTCAATCGCTTAAGTTGTTATCTAGCAAAATATTTTTGGGTTTAAAACTAAGAAAACTACAAACTAAACAAGCAAGGAAAGTAAATGGAGGAGAATTCTACTCGAGAGGACTTCACCTGGGTATTGCTCCTCCTAGTCTTATGCTAAGAAACGACAAACAAAGCTCTAGTGTGAAAGACGTGTTCATACAACGCGAGGTGGGTGCAACTAGCTAGGGACAAACTTCCTTAGTCGATCAATGAAGGAAACTCAACAAATATAAGCTAGGAGAACTAGCTCTCTTAACCGTTAGGTTAAGGATTGTGATTCTTAGCTAGGGAACCTAGCTCTCTTCACCTATCAACCCAAGAGATCCCTAACTCTCTTAGTTATCTAATTAAGACTCGTTGCAACAAGTTAGAAAGCTAACTCACTTAACCTTTCGGCTAAGGGTGAAAACGATAGGCTAGGAAACCTAATCCTCTTGACTAGCCGACTAAGGATTGCAAACCAAACCCTCGGAACTTAATCCGGTCGGCGAAGAGACCAATCCCTATGGAATCACGACCCTACTCCAATACTTGAGATTTTGGTCTTAAATCGACCTAAAGGAGGTTACCCAAGTGGCTAAGAAGTCTAGCTTCCTATTGGACCAAAAGGGGATTTCTACCCTCTAGATCAATTTTACCCAATATTGAGTTAAAGCTAGCACAGTCAATCATTCATGAATAGTACCTCAAATATAATATAAAACACTCAATAAACACAATAGGTTCATGTTCTTACATCCTAACACATAGAGAGACTAGGATTCACAATACTCAAGTGAGTAGGTAGGCTATTCCATAGCTAGACAAGAGAAAACAACGAAAGGGGAAGAAAGAACAATGAAGTGATGCCAATCTTTCCTCCTTGTTGCTTGAGACACCCTTGAGATGAAGAAATATTCAATCCTCTAACTAGGAACAAGCCAAAAGCTCCTTCTTCCTCCTTTGATTTGCACTTTCTCACTCTAGAAGAAACCTAACCTCTCACTAGAATCCTCCTTATTTTGAAAAATGAAAACCTAACCTAAAAACAAAGCTCTCGTTTTCTTATTCCTTTCGGCTCTCCCTTTATACTGAGATCGAGCTGAGTTCACGGCCTTCTAGTTCATGGTCGTGAACTCCTCAACGCGTCCGTGAACTCAGGTTGCTATGTCGAAACGCACCGCTTCACTTACTTGACTTCACAATTGGCACTCAAAGTTCACGGTCTTGGAGACCGTGAACTCACGCGGCGTCAGTAACCTCAGAAATCGCGTTGGACGCTTCGCGGTTCACGGTTTTTGGCTTCAGTTCACGGCTTTAGGAGACCTTGAACTCCAATGAGAAACCGTGAACATGGCCTGAAACTTGGACACCTGCACTTCACTGTTACGGGGAAACTGTCACGGACTTTGGACTTTTCTTCGGTTTTTGCACTTTTTGACCTCCAATCGTCCCGAAACTCGTCCTCGACCCTTCCACACGTACTAGGACCTGAAATTTATCAAAACAAGCACAACCTAGCGTGAAATATGTCGAGGACGATGAAATGCAAAGCCAAACTATCAAAAAATGAAGGGTAAAATGTGTACAATTGGACCCGAATCACCTCCTGCTTACCTAAATCTGGCCTCCACCACCTACCTCTTATGCTCCATTTCTGTCAGCTTCTGCCGACCTTGAGGAGGAAGAACGAGGAAGATGGAATCACCATCTTCGGCGACGGGATTTCAACCTGTCTTGCCAGTAGATCAGCCGGCTCGGCTATCCGTCCGTCAACAGGTCCAATTCGTGTCGATTACCTACCAGATCCGCCACCGATAATGAAAAAATTAGGGCAGATCTGGGTTTAGTGATGGATTTGTAGTGCAGATCTGAGTCGGTGGCGGCGTTTTGTAGACGGGGGAAGCTATGGAGCTTGAAGTGGCGGTGTGATGCCCGTGCATTTGGCGAGAAGGAAATCAAGGGAAGGATTTTATGATGGGTTCTTCGGTTTTCCCAGAACTGAAATTTAGTGTTTGGGTTCTTTGATTTTCAAACTGATTTCCGTCAATGGTATGAATTGTAGGACGGGGAAGGAAATTGGGGGAAGGATTTCGTAATGGATGGAGGTGAAAATTAGAAGAGGACGAAGATCGGGGAAGGAAATTTGGGAAGGATTAGGTAATGGGTGGAGGTGGAAGTTAGAAGAGGGCGAAGATGAGGGAAGAGTTTCTACCATTCTTTTTCTATTTTTTTTAATTCTTAAAGACGTGGATGTCCTAGTCAGCAGTGGATGCTGAGTCACTTACGGAGAAAATGGTTGACCGTCAATTTTGACGGTCAATTCAAAATACGGGATAAATTTGTCCAATAATTTCAAAAGTAGGCCATAAATGTCTTAATTGAAAAATGGGGAGAAAAGTTTGAGATGTTACTTGCTGAGATGAACCAAAAGCAGGCCATAAAGTAGGCCACAAAAGTAGGCCATAAATGTCTTAATTGAACGAGTACATCAAATTACCAAAGACGTTGAAAAACAAATGGCTGAGATGAACCGAAAATGGGAAGAAAAGTTTCAGATGTTACTTGCTGGAAGGGAACCTCCACTTGGACGAAACATGTCCTATGAAGAAGTACGTCACCAATTTGATATTAGCTATGAGTTTCCTTTTTTAACGTTGTTGTTAACTATGTATTTGTATATATATATAAATATGATCTTGTCTCATATGCTACTCGAAACTCGTCTTTCCAATTGAAGAGTTTAATACATTTTTTTTTTTTTTTTGCAGATTATGGAAAATACATAATTATCTCCAAGATTTGAAGAATTATTTTTTCTTTCTGAATACAATTACTTTATTTTAGTAGAACTCTGATAAGGATTGTCATTCTATTTTGGAGGCCATCTTTGTTGGATTTTTTTTTTTTTTAGAATCTTTGTTGTATATTTAATAATATTATTTGTAGAGTATTTATTATGTTAAATTTGGCAGCATTATTTAATATGCTATATATTATCAAAATAATTTGTGGATCCACAAAAAAAAAGAGTATTTGAGCGAAAATTGTGATTTGCAAATTATAGCCACGATTTATCATATAGAAGCCAACAACCAAATTTTTACCGAAATAATTTTTTACAAAAGCGTAATGTAACATTAGCTACAGTTACAAAGCAATCTAGACATATAGTTCCCCCATAGCTAGATGTAAAATATGTAGCCACAATCATTTTTTGTAACGAAAATTTAAAGTATCTAGTCACAAAATTATTTGTGGCAAAATTATGAATGATTGAGCCACGATTGTTATTACATGAAACAAGGGAACAAGCGATATAGCTATAGAATTATTTGTGGCAAATAATGTGTTCACTTTCAGCCACACCACTTCTTTCTGAAGCTATTTAAATCTTTTGCCATGATGCTTTATATTAGTAGCAAGAACTTTGATATGATAGTTACAAAACGATTCGTAGCAAAAGAATAAATATTCTAGCCATAAAAAAGTAGTTAAAGCTATAGTCTATATCTTTAGCCACCGTTTTTTTCGTAGTAAGAAATAGAATTTTGGTTAAATACACTTGTATATCCAAAACTTTCACGGTTGTGCCAATAATATTCAAATTTCCCGAAATACCACTTATATCCAATTCCTTCACATTCTTTAAAGGTGTTTTTGGATATACAAGTGTATTTAACCAAAAATATATTGGGAAATGGATAGATTTGGCAAAGAACAACTTTAAAACATGGATATAAGTGGTATTTCGGGAAATTTGGATATTAGTGGCACAACCGTGAAAGTTTTGGATATACAAGTGTATTAAACCTAGAATTTTCTAGTTACAAGAATATTTGTGGCAAATCAACAACTAAAAGAGCCACGAGAAATCTTATCTGAAGCTATATATATCTCGTACTTTATGGCAAGAAACATATTTTAACAAATCCCAAATGAAACTATTTGTGGAAAATTATTAGATAAAGCCATGCATTATAGTCTTTATAGCTAAATATATTGATGGTTCTGCTACTTATAATAACTTTTGTACCAAGAACATATCGCCTTTTTAGCGATGTTATATGTAGTTCATAGTTAAAACAATTAGTTTTAGCCATGTAAGTGACAAAATATGTAGCTAACCTTTAGCTGCGACTCTTTTAGCCACACAAGCTACAAGGCGAATTATTTATAGCTATATGTTATAGCTACAAAATAGTTAGTTTTAGCCATGAAAAAATTCATGACTGCATGTGTGTTTTCTTGTAGTGGAACTGACACTTACGCTAAACTTCGGGCCAAACTAGGGTATTAACCCAATTCTAAATTTCTATGTTAATTATCAAATCTCCTACCGTTAAACCACAACAAACTATAAAATTAATTTTATCTACTAATTTCTACATTAATACATTTTTGGTTGGCAATATACACTTGTATAGCCAAAACTCTACAGTTTGGAGATATACCACTTATAGCCAGTTTTTTAGTTGTTTAAGTACAAATATAGCCATTTCAGTTAGATACTTTACTGGTGTTAGTAACATCGTCAACTTTTTTGACGGTTCGTTGACTAGGCGCCTACTCAATTCACACGTCAGTGCCAAATGAGAAAAAAATGACACATCATATATTAAATATAGTTAAAAATTACTTTAACTCCACCATCCTATTTTTCCTGAAAAAATATTATTTTGCTTAAATAATTAATAATTACACAAATATACTCCTCTTTCCCCTTTTCTCCATTCTACAACATCCTCCCTTCCCACACCAGCTTCCTCCAACCTAGCCATCGGCGATCCTCTGTATCCTTTTAGATTTGGGAATGAAAAAAACGGGGTAAAACCGCAATGACCATCGTACTCCCTCTGATCGACTCACACAACACATAGACTCCCCCTTTTGGATTTGCGGTCAGTGAATGAGGTCTTGGGGCGGCGGGGTGGTAGGTGGTAGCTAGGAAAGCTTCCCCTACTACATCGGCGGCGAGATTCGAATGGTCTCTGTCTACAAATCGACGACCTTCTTCAGCTCCAGACTACCACCGCTCTTCTCTTTCTTCTACGACTTCTTAATTGAAGCTGGAACATAGATATTATGATTCGTTGAGTTCGCCGGCTTCATCTGCTAATACGTCGACTTCTAGATCCAGTATCCTGTCACCAAATCCGCACTTCTAATCTGCGACGGAGCTGGTGGGTGTGGCGGGAGGGTTTGCTGCAGCGGTGTCGCTGTAGTGCAGATTTGTGTGTGATGATTCTAAGAGGCAAGAAAGGAAGAGATAGGGTGAGCAAGAGATCTTCTAGGAAGGGTGGGGTGGGGGTCATGGTTGGCTTTGAAAGAGAGAAGAAGAGTTTGGGGTAGATCGATGGGGAAGCTATAGAGAAGTTGTGGAAACTCTCCAGCGCAGATGGTGGCTTTGATTTATGGCTTTGATTTATGATTAAGTTACAAGATTGATGGGGTAGCTAAGGAGGGAGAAAACCGGCGGCTAGGTTGGAGGAAGAGAGAGATTAGGGAAGTTCAGGGGAAGGTTGGAGGGAGAGAAAGGGGAAGCTCATAGGGTTTGTGGGTTTATTAAAATTATTATTCATTTTTTATTTTTTTATTTATTTTTCATTTATCTACGTGGATGACTGGATGTGTTGTTGATTTAATATTGCTAAATCAGCATTTCCGTTTGTTCAGTCAGCTTGTTAAATAATATCGTTAAAGTATTGGACGGAAGTGGCTATAAGTGGTATTTCTCCAAATTTGACTATTATTGGCACAAAAACGAAAGTTTTGGCTATACAAGTCATGTATATTGCCTTTTTGGTTTATCAAGATGGATAAGAGATGCATATTAGTTGAATAAGAAGAGGTGCATATTAATAAAGGAAACCATTAAAAAAATTTATGACGATAGTCGGAAGAGAAAATTAGTTTTCATCAATGTATTTGCTTGTGAAAAATAGATTTTATTTGCTACTGTCATTTATCAATTTATAAGTTAATAATATTTTATGCGGTGAAACGATTGACTAGCCTTATGTATCTAGTGAACTGAAATTGTGAATGGTTATTTGCTGGGATACATTAAGTATGAAATTTTGATAGTTTGACCGATTCATCCAGTTATAAAATAATTTTACAATATGAAACATTAAAACGCATATGTAATTTTTTATTATACCCTTTTGAATAAAATTTTAGCTACGCCGCTGCACACATGGTCAATAATAGGGAACCGCACGTTGCTTGAACAAACAACTGAATACAATAATCTTTAGCAACTGTCATCGTTCGTAGATTCTCCGATTGCTATTGCCAGCTTTTCACAAGTATAAAGATTCAAACAAACAAAATAACAAAATATATGTTCTCTTCTGGTGGCTGGCCTCGGATCGGAAATTTGGAGGGTGGGAGGGACAAGACAGGGAAGATATGGAAATAGACAGTTTTCAATATTCTTGCAATGCCAACTTCAAGTTTTCTTTTAACCACATAAATGTTACACCTTTGTTGGTAATCTAATTTTGTAACCTCAATATCTGAATACTGATGTCAATCATTTTAGATAGTCACATATCAATTTGACACTTCTTTTTAGGCTAAATTACATGTTTGGTCACTCAAATTACATAAATCTTTCACATTTGCCACCAGAATTACCTTTCTTTCTTATTCGCCACTAACTTTACAAATCATTTCACCGTTAGTCACCAACCGTTAGTCTCCGTTAACATCGCCAATTTTTTGATGACGTGGAAAACGTAACTCTTAACTGGACCGTTAACTAATAACATGTCAATTTTAAAAATTATTAATTAAAAAGAAAAAAAAGTTTACTCTGAACCTGCGATCAAGCTGCACTCTTCCGATTTTGAGCATCTCCGACAGCTGGTTGCCGGAGGCTGCAGCCTTCTCGAAATTCTCCTTAATGGCCTCCGTAATCGCCTTCAACCATTTTCATATATACTAGTCCGAAAACTCAACCTCGTCCCAATCTCATATCTGGTCGCCTCGTCGTCGTCTTCTACTCACCCGTCAGACAAGCTGGTTGTGCTGTAACAACCGTGACCCCCCCCCCCCCCCACCATCACTCGCTACACTGAGCTTCTTCCCTCTCTATATCTTCGTCGACGCGCGACATTATACTGCTTGTGGGAGGTGGTGGGATTTCCATTAAATGCGGGTAGCACGGCTTCTGGAAGAAATTGTACTCTGACCATTCGATTTCTGTCTCTGTCCTCCCGTCATCGTCCTCGTCGAGGTGGCAGCAGCTCTGGCTCTATTGTTGCGTCCATGGCGGAGTTTTGTGATTGAAGACTCTGGAGTCGGGAGGGGAAGGAGGGTAGAAATTCTCCCAGATCCAAATAGAGGAGGCCTGGGAGGGGTGCGAGAGTTGTTGGAATCTCCTAGGAGGGCTTCGGGAGTAGCTAAAATCGGCTTAGTAGGCGGCGGGGAAGCCATAAGTAGCGGTGAAATTGGATTTCTCACTGCTAGCAGAGGGTGAGGAATGGCTGGATACGAAGAGAATGTGAGAGAGCTTGGGAGGCAACGACAGCTGGCAGCGACGGCGATTGGAAGCGGCTGGTGGGCGGCGAGGATTGGAAGAGGAAAACGTCGAGGGTCTAGGTGGAGTGGATGTGAGGGAGCTTGGAGGTGGCGATGGAAGAGGAAACGGAGGGGCAGGTGGGGGAGGGTGGAGGGAAGGGGGAAAGAGTAGGTGGGACACGTGGACGATTTATTTTTTAATTTCTTTAAATTTACATGTCATTAGTTGACGGTCCAGTCAGCAGTTCTGTTTGCCACATCATCGAAAAACTGACGGAGTTAACGGAGACTAACGGCCGGTGACTAACGGTGAAACGATTTGTAAAGTTAGTGGCGAATAAGAAAGAAAAGTAATTCTTGTGGCAAACTTGAAAGATTTATGTAATTAGAGTGACCAAACGTGTAATTTAGTCCTTCTTTTTATGACTAAAATAAGATAACAATAAAAAACATATGTTAACGGTCCAGTCAGCAGTTCTGTTTGCCACATCATCAAAAAACTGACGGAGTTAACGGAGACTAACGGCGGTGACTAACGGTGAAACGATTTGTAAAGTTAGTGGCGAATAAGAAAGAAAAGTAATTCTGGTGGCAAACTTGAAAGATTTATGTAATTAGAGTGACCAAATGTGTAATTTAGTCCTTCTTTTTATGACTAAAATAAGATAACAATAAAAAAACATATGTTAACGGTCCAGTCAGCAGTTCTGTTTGCCACATCATCAAAAAACTGACGGAGTTAACGGAGACTAACGGCCGCTGACTAACGGTGAAACGATTTGTAAAGTTAATAATTAATAAGAAAGAAAAGTAATTCTGGTGGCAAACATGAAATGGCAAACTTGAAAGATTTATGTAATTAAAGTGACCAAATGTGTAATTTAGTCCTTCTTTTTATGACTAAAATAAGATAACAATAAAAAAACATATGGCCTATGCAAGTCTCGAACCTGCGACCTTGGCGTTATTAGCACGATACTGTAACAAGCTAAGCTAATAGGCCAATTGAAGGTTTGAAATGTTTGTTTAATTTGTTTAATCGAAACAAAAACATCACCAAGCATTTCAAAATATCAAATTGAGGACGAACTGTTGCATTTTGTAGTTGTGACTTGTGTGGGGTCATGTGTTCGAACTTTCAATGATAATGATTTTCTTTCTTTTGATTGTGGGCAAGTGTTGCAGGACGATAGAAGAAAAAATAGAGAAATGTTTAGAGTGAACGTGTGATCCTATCGTGTTGGTACTTGGTAGATCAAAGAAGAGCGTTGAAAGATGCCGATGTGAACAAGAAAAACCGAGTAAAATTATTTTCAACATAATTCATGGGATATAAAAAATTAATACTTCAAAACTATAGTTGAATATCGATAAGTATTAAATGCGTTATTTGTGTTTAATATTTGTTTACTTAATATTGAACTAAAAGTTTTAAACACACAACATATGCACACAAGTAATCACCAATAGCCCCTATCAAAAAGTTAAACGTATGGACTTTAACTAAACAAATATCTTACACAATTAATTAATTCTTTTTTCTTATTCCCTTCCTCAAAATCCTTATCCTTATCCTTATCCTTATTTAATATTATAGGGATTCAAAACAAAATTATTGCCACATAGGCACATAGCTAACTCTCAATAATCCACAGTGGACTCTACTAATTCCTTTTTTTTTTTTTACAAATGTGGGCTCTTTTATTTATAATTAATGATCTTTTTTCTTACACTTAAATATATAATCATTATCTCAACCATCCAAGGGGGACTCTTCTAATTCCTATTTTTTTTACAAATGTGGGCTCTTCTTATTGTAATCGGTATTCTTTTTTTGCTTACACTTTAAATACATTATTATTATCAATCAAATGTAAATTAAGGAAAGAACAATGTTTAATTTCCAATGCATTCTCTGGGTTTGCTTCCATCCCTTTTCCCGATAGCTTATATTTTTAAAAGGAAAATCCAACACTGGTAGGAAGAAGAAATAACAATTTGGATAAAGTCCTGTAAAAAACAAGGAAACTGTCTTCTTATTTACTCAAAATTTTGGGATTTCTTGCATTTCTCTCTACTTTTTTACACAAAGATACATGGGAGGAATGACAAGGCATATGGAATTGAGCAGTTGTAACATCTTTTTGGGTTGTTAACGAAAAAACATTCTTCTCAACTTTGCGAAGACGAAGCGAACCAATTTGAGGATTGCAAATTGCTCCCTCTTCCTCTTGATCTTCAACTGGCGACATGTCTCTCTTCCCCAATGATTTGCGGCTGCCTGCAGGTCGAGCGGCCAAGTTCTACTCTTCTACTCATCTGGTATCCCTTTTGTACCAAATTATGGGACAGGTCAAAAATTTGCCTACTTGATTATATTAATGAGTTTCTTATTTGTTTTTCAAGTTGTTATTTTACGATTCTCTATTCTACTTTATGTAAATAGGTAACAAATAATTGGAAGAGTTAATTGCTCGGACTTAGAGCATCTCTCCTTGATTGAACAATTGATCGTTTTCTTTAAAGGCCTATGGCATCATGATTCCATGAGCCCTGGAATGCAAAGCAAAGTTGAGAGGGTATGATGTTTTTGTGTTTTTTTAATGTTCTACAGTGACTACTAGCTAGCTATACAATGATGATCTTATCAGCAAGTAGTATTTAGGAGGTGTTAAGTAAACGGGAAATATGCGGTGTTTCATAAAGGCGATTAAGAAGAAAGAAAGCGGTTGTGGTAAATAGTGTGTCTATGTGGATGTTCTTTCAAATTTTACACGTTTACAATGACATTTTTTGTTTCCTTAGTTGGTAAGAAAACAATTAGGCTGAAATCAATCCCTGTTCATGGATGGGGATTGTATAAGATAGAATGAGTTAAGTTTTATTGAAGTCTACCACTTTTATTATTAGTGTGGCCTTTTATTTTTTTAACTTTTTTGTTCATTTTTGCTTGATAAAAGAATAATAATCTCTTATGTTGTTTAACAGTAGTCGACAGGTTCGATACTAAATGAACGCGTGATATAATTATTTCTATTCATTTTGTAATTTTGACATCCTCTACTTATATCATAAACGGTGGCTTTCGATACAAAATTCTATATCAATAAAGAACCATCTTCAATAACTAATTTTATGAAATTAAAGTTTTTATATTAATAAACAAAAGATAAAACGTGTGAAACAATTGCTTAAATAAGGTATTTGAGTTTAATATTCCATGTATAACAGTATAACATATATGAGCCATAAAAAGATTAGACTATTACTACGATAAATAAATAAAAAATGCACCGCCCAACGGGTGGGTGAAAAACTAGTAGATTTATAACACATCTCGTTCTATTGATACAACATTGAAAGGATGGAAGGAGTGTGGCATGTCTGTCGAGGACAAGGAAGTTCTTATTAAGTAAGTTGCTCAAGCCCAACTAACCTATGCTATGTTCATTTTCCGTATATCGGAGGCACGATTGGTGAGGTTCATAGTATGATTATGAAGTTTTGGTGGAGGCAGCGGGGAGACGAAAGACGCACGAGCTGGTTGAGTCGCGGAGAGCTAGTTAAGTGGAAGTCACAAAGTAGGATGGGGTTTAAGGATCTCAAGGACTTTAATTAGTATATATCTCGGCGGGAGTCAAACATAGTTGCTCATGTGGTGGCTCGTGGAACCCCGAAATGGGACATGGAGTTTGTTTGGTTTGATAGCCTCCGAGACTTATTGTAGCTCGGTTCGAGCAAGACACTCTTGATAGCTTGATGACAAGATAATATTCATGTTTGCATAAAAAAATACATATAATTATTACTATGATACAAACCAAACACTGCATTTTTTACATTGCACATGTTTTAAAAAATTTACCTGCCCCTACTAATAGGTATATATGTCTAAATCTGAAAATGATCAAGCAACTTCTACATGAAATTCATCTCCTACCCAATAGTATATGGAGGTTCTTTGTTAGCAATAGCACCTCTTTAGTTCGATTTTTCCAGACCTCTCCACATAGCTAGGACGGGTTACTTTGTCTTTCTACATCTCATCTACGTTGCTGTTGTAAATTTCTCTATTCAACTAGGTGTTGCGGGCTGGGCCTATAAGAAGCAAAAATTGATTTAGCTAGGTTATTCATCCCCAGCACTCCAGCAGCAGTAGGTGATTTCTTTCCCTCCAATTAATTTCTTTTATATATTATATAGGGTTGATATAGTATTATTAATGTTATGAAAGAAAAAGGAATTACAACGCCAACAAAAAAATGTGGCGTTCATCTTCATTGGTACGAAACAAACCCAGTAACGTGATTGAGCTCATCTAAACAGTAGTTGCTTTGTTCTTCTTCCAATGATTTAAGAAGGAATACAATTTCAGTTTGAAAATTTTAAGCTGGAAGGACTGTTAAACTTATACTACATACCATATGAGATAGTAAAGTTGTTTTTACTAATAAAACAATCTTGATATATGAAACTCTACCGTGACATAATGTAGTAGTTAAATAAATCAAAACAAAATGTTCAGGGAACCGGTAAAATACTGACCAAAAGCAAAAGGTAATTGTAGGTTGTCAGTTTTACCGTTTATAACCACTAGACACAAATTTTTTATAGCATTTTTTCAACATATAAACATGATCGATAATTAGTGGTTTTTATGATTCAACTAATCGGTATGTCATGGTAAAATTACTCAATGAAGCAATCCTTAATATTCGTCCAAATAAATTTTTGCCATGAATCGCTTGGTTAGGAATTAAGGATAAAGGTCGAACACATTATAAATTATCGGTTGAGGGTTGGGTAACTCCTCTTTGAAATCTTAGCTAAGGGGATAATCAAAGGGAGGAGAATAAGTAAGAGTTTAGTTCATTAAGGTAAGCAAATGGTCTAGAATGGCTTCTGTATAGATAGCCTTGGTTGCATTAAGGCATGAATAGCTTGATTAGGGTTTAGGACGAAGATCCAATATATTATAACTCATCAACATTATTGTTTGAGGGTTGAGTATTTCACTTTGAAAACCTTAGCCAGGGGGGTAAGCAAACGTTTGAGGAAAATGACTAAGAGGAAGTGCCTTAGTTGAGAAA